GGAATTTCTAGGATGATGAAAATGGAAATCCCACCATAATAGTTGTTCATCCAACTTATGGAGAATAAGCTTAGATTGAACTAGAACTGTAGAGAGCATCAATGAAAACATATCAAATTGATAAGGGATTTAACAGGTTTTACCATGTAAAAAAATTGTTTTGAGGGGATTTTACCACCTTATCAGAAAGTGTGGGCAGACTTAGAAATTCCAATTAGTGTAAGCAAATTTTTAACTTTAGTTTAAAAATAAAAAGTTATATGTGACATGAATTATAACCCATAGAATATTACATGGATTCCACACTGAATAATATTTAGATAGTAGATACTATGTAAAAAATAGTAGCTGGGCACAGTGGCACACACCTCAGATCACAGCCACTTGGTTGGCTGAGACCGGAGGATTGCAAATTGAAAGCCAGCCTCAGCAATTTAGCAAGGCCCCAGGCAATGAGTGACACCCTGTCTCAAAAAAAAAAACAAAATGGCTGGGGATGTGGCTCAGTAGTTAAGCACACCTTTGTTCAATCCTCAAAAACAACAACAAAAAATAAATAAATAAATAAATAAATAAATAAATAAAAACCTAAACATGAGACAGGTCTGGTGCTACACACTTGTTATCCCAGTAACTCAGATGCTGAGGCAGTATGCCAAATTCAAGGCCAGCCTACACGGGCTCCATGGCACATGCCCTTAATCCCAGGTGCTTGGGAGGCTGAAGCAAGAGCACTGCAAGTTTAAAGCCACCTTCAGCAAAAGCAAGGCACTAGGCAACTCACTGAGACCCTGTCTCTAAGGAAAATGCAAAATAGGGCTAGGGATGTGGCTCAGTGGTCCAGTGACCCTGAGCTCAATCCCCAGTACCAAAAAAAGTGGGGCACAGGGGTTTAGGGTGTAGCTCAGTGGTAGAGGGCCTCTGAGTTTGATTTCCAGTACCACAAAACACACAGATACACACACACACACACACTTTGAATTTAACTAAATTGTAACATAATCATATTTAGGGTTTGAGGGAAAGTAAGGAAGTAAAAAAGGACTAAGGATTCCTCCCCCTGCCCACTTTGCTAGAAATGCAACGAATGTTCAAAGTTGACTAATCAAGGGACACTAGTAGTGGTATAGTATTTAGAAACATACATGTAAAACCCAGAATAAAGAGACAAAAGATATGAAATTTGTTACTTTTGATGAAGGATAGGAGGGAGACCTAAGAACCATTTTGTTTTTGACATAAGCCTTTCAGCATTTCTTGACTTTTAAAACTATGTGTATGTATCCATGCATCCCTTTGATAATTTGTTTGGTTTTTTTAACCTCTTAAATTATCAAAGATATAAATTAAGAGAGGTTGCAAACCACTGCTATGGGCAATGTAGCCTATATATAGAAATTTCTATTACAATGAGTTTTTGGGCAAGAGCGTAATACATTCATCTTCTTAATGCATTTGCTTATTCACTTATTGTCTATCTCACTAGAATTTAAGCCTCATATGGGCAGGGATGTGAAAGTAAATGTTTAATATGGTTTTATGACAGGAAAAATGCTCCTATTTGTAGCATTTACCAAATTTTGTAATGCAAATATTCCTACCATGCCTGATTTTAAGCTACCAAGGTGATGTCACTGAATGGAGCAGATAAAAGATGCACTCAGTTGACTTTTATGAACAGAATCCAATTGCCTGCTAACAGAAACCTTGTCTGTCTTCTTAACTATTGTCTCTGGAGTTCAGCATAGTGCTTAGTGCATGGTTCAATAGTTGTTTACCTGTTTCCTCAATAGGAGGAAAAAACAGCAGTTCAGGGATCGGCAAACATTGGATGACATAATTTGACCTGGGAAAATACCATTTAAAATTCTGAAAGCAAAATAATTTTGAAATTTAGAAGTATCAAAAGACCCTCTGCTAGTAATCAAAAACTTAAAGAGTATAGAAAGCTGAAATCAGAGTATAACTTAGATGCTGGGTCATGATCCACCAGCAAGTTCTTCCTTGCCTCAAAGGCAAAAAAGTGAAAAAGAAGGTAGCTGTGAGCCAGACATTCTGCTAGTCATTTTATACATTTTACTTCATTTAATTGTCACAATAATTCTAGGAGATACAGCACCCTAACTTACAGATAGGGGAACGGAAAAATCAAAAACTCCAAGGAATTTGTCCAAGCTAGTAAGACTGAGAGTTGGGATTTATTTTTTATTTTTTAAATATTTTACTGATAGATAAAAATTGTACATGTTAATGAGGTACCATGTGATGTTTGACACATGTATACATTGTATAATGTTTGTATCAGTTTCTATCTCCTCAATCATTATCATTTCTTAATGGGAAAAACATTCAAAATCCTTTCCTTTAGCTTTTTGGAAATATGCAACACATTTTCATTTTCTGTAGTTCACCCTACAAGTTCAATAGCACACCAGAACTCCTTCCATACTCCCATCTAACTGTAATTTAGCATCATTGATTAACCTTTCCCCTGGAGCTGTGATTTAAACCCAAATTTGCCTAACTCCTTATCATAAGCTTTTTCTTCTATACCAGCTGCCTTCAAAAATACCTTTGAGCAGAATAATTAAGAAAAATGGGGGGGGGTTGTTTATCAGAGACATGAAGATAATTGTCTCACCTTCTATCATTCTTTGGTTATGAAGCTCTAGCCTAGACACCTGCAAAGTGGGGGTAGAATGCATTCGATCCGGCTTTTTAAAAATAAGCTCTGGATTCTTTGTTGCAGCTCTATTTCCTTGTCTAAAGCAGAGTGCAGGCTGCCTAGCAACCAAGCTAATGGCGTCTTTTTTTTTTTTTTTTTTTTTTTTTGCGTTAATTACCTTATGTTCCACAAGCTCAAAGGGATTCAATCAAATATCAAGAGTACAAGGTCTGACTTTTTTATATCAATATATCTGTTCATACACATGTACAATACACACACACACACACTCACACACTCTCACCATCTTCTTCTCTCCATCTTATGATTAAAGTAGAAAGATGACTTAGACTGTATTTATGTGATGCCTTATCGTTGGGATGGGATATAAATACAATGCCATACAACTGATTGTGCTTGACTATAAATAATAAATACAATGCCATACAACTGGTTTGACCAACCATCCTTAGCAATATGAGGGATTATTGTAACTGCTGTAAACAGTTGTTTTCTATTCTATATGAAAAAAGAGAGATTTATTATAGACATATCAGTAATAATAAAGTTCAAATCCAGCACTATTAATATCACTGCCAGTCACATTTCTTATGAGAACAAGAATCAGGAATGTCTTTGATATCAGGGTAGGAAGAAACATGTACATCTGTTTCATCTGAATTACTTATTGGGGGACAGAGAGAAATAGGAGGCCAATGGATAAAGAAAGGGTGGATAAAAAGGAGAACATCTTGGAGAATGTGAATATTTGACCCAATCCACTGACTACCTAATAGCCTTCTCCTTGCTAACAGCATCTTAATTTTGTTAGCACTTTTCTGGAAGTTATAGGATTAACCACATTGGTCTCATTCTTCTTTCCAGATTATTGGTTTAGGACTGGATATGGGACACAATCTGGGAGAAGTCTGTTTGAGGAACTTCTGGGAACAATTTACTCACTCTTGAACAGAAACACATGAGTCCATTTTCACCTCTGGACATTTCTACCTATACTTAGTGTCTGGAACTGTGGCAGCCATCTTGTGACCATAAAAAGTGGCTCATAAGGGCTATCTAGCATGCTATAGTTTGTAAAGTGTAAAGATGAAAAGAACCTAGCTCTCTGATGACATCATTAAGCTACTGAATTAACCAACCATGGAATAGTTCCTGTTTTGAAAGAGAAATGTTTTTTAGGCCAATTTGTGTTGAACTGCCTATTACTTACAGCCCGAATTAATACTAAAGAATGCTAGCACATGCTTGAACTTTTAAACTTCTTTATATGTCATTCTAAATGGTTCTGAAGATGCCTATTGTCTACATCTGACCTCCAACATATAGAAACCTGCATATTCTAATCTAAGTGGTGTCTTTGCCTCCCCAATATTCTCTCATTTTCCTGGTCTTCTTTGTACTCATTCTCTTTGTTTTTGTCTTTGCTCTTCTTTCTTTTCTCTGCTTTCTTCCCCTCCATACACTTTTTCTTCCTCTGTGCCCTATGTGACTGTGATTTGAATCTTAAGTATGTCTATATAGACATGCATGTAAATGTATAAATAGTATTTCTTGTATATTAGAAAGGAGGACTTCTTGCCCATTCCAAATGATTCATTTAATATAAAGATAGCTCTGGCAGCAAAAGACTCCTGGCCTCTCCTCACCTACTTACTCTTTTCTTCCTACAAAGGAGGAGTGACTTAATCTGATGTGCTAGTTTTGAAGACCTACATTTGGGTACCTCTTCCCTTCCCATCTTCTTTGTCTTGTGTGTGGGCACATGCTCTGCTATGTTCCTCCAGATTGTATATTTTACAAAAGGCCTGCCCTTGTGGAGCAGGATTCTAGTGGCCCAGCAAGCCTAGTGACTAGGTGAAGTCTGCTTAATCCTAATGTTCAGTATTCAGAAGCTCAAATGCCTACAGAAATAGTCCGCATTCCCAAATATTAGCATTATCAACATTAAAGTTTATGTTTTTTTTTTCTTATATAAGCTCTTTAGTGTGGTTGCTGAACTGGTTCAAAATTCCAGTCACAAATAAAAATTCTATTTTATTAGGTCCCCTTGAACAGCATTTGTATATGTTAAAGTTTTATTTTTCTGTTCTTAAATATATTTTGTTTATTCTTCATTGACTGTGCTATCATTGTGGGTTGCTTGAAATATTTCCAAGAATGTATCTTTGTTCTTCAAGTGTTTCTACAAACAAAAGGTGTTTTAATTTGTGTGTGATTGCCTGCTGTTGATTGGGTTTCTTATTGATTGGAAAAGATAGTTACTTTCCAGATTTTTTAAGTTCTCAATTCATGATAACTGTGAGTCTGCACTTACTTGATCTGATTCCAGCATATCATGAATTTCACCCCTAGCTGCTGCTTCTGTATAGGCTTCATGGAAGGTCTTTCCTTGGGACTCCACTGAAATGGTCAATACAGCATCATATGCTTTGGGTTGTTCCTGAGGACCTGGTAGGGGATGTGCTTATAAGGTAAACTGTAGAGCAGAGTATCATAAGGAACAAAGGCATAAGTTCCATAGAACATTTTCAGATCATTAGTCCATTCCAAGAGGTGTGTTGGGGTCTCTCCCCCAATCAAGGTGGAATGCATACACATTATGATTACTGAAACCAACAAAGCAAAGATGTTATGATAGCAATGTGTTAGTGAAATAGAGTGCCAAAACACTATAAACTGGAGAAATAAATAAATGAATAAATGTGTTCTAACCAAATTGTAAATTATTTCTTTCTTATGTTTATGGGTAAGAAATTGAGGTCTGCAATTTGGGTATATACCCAGGGACTCTGTTTTGGGTAATGGAGCAAGAGCTTAACACTCATAGGAATAATTACTGGTAAAATAAATGTGAGATACCATAACAAAGAGGCTTTAGGATTGGGAGGGATAGTTTCATATCCTAACACCAAGTATTAGCTGTATAACCTTCGGTACATTACTTAACTTTTCTCTGCCTTATCCGTGAATAGATAGAGGTAACAGTATGTACTTCATGGAGAGGTAGTGATGATTGAAGATGATTCATATAATGGGTTTAGTACATAGTACTCAATAAATAGCAACTACACTCATACCTAAAAATAAGAAGGCTAGAAGGAGAGGATCTCATAATCACTATTGCCTTTTGTTGTTGTTGTTGAGGGTTTTTATTCGTTTTTTAATTAATTTATTTATTTTAATTAGGTCAATATGACAGCAGAATGCATTTTGAATCATTGTACACAATTTTAGCACAACTTTTCATTTCTCTGATTGTACATGATGTAGTGTCTCACCATATGTTCAGTCATACATGTACCTCAGATAATGATATCCATCTCATTCCACCATCTTTCCTGCCCCCATGCACTCTCCCTACCTTCCCTCCCCTTGCTTTTGTTTGTTCACCTCCTACATACATGTACTCGAGTACATTTTGGCCACCTGTTCTAACCCTTATCAAGACCATTATAGACACTGAATGGCACTAACACACGTTCATCTATAAATGCTACTAATATTATGAGTGATATGCTCAACCTTTTAAATCAAACTTCCCTGTAATTGGAATTACTTTGCACTCAGTTTAATTCTTCCTAGACTTATGAAACTGTGTTGTTTGGCAAGGCTATGCTAGAATAGAGTGGATTAGAGGGGGCCACGGTTGAAGAATGGCAGCTAGATCATGAGACTGAAAGTCTTATATCCAATTTCGTCCTTGGCATGCTAAATGAGTTTAGTTTAAGCCCACTTGTGCTTCAGTGCCCACATCTTTAAAATGTAGATTCCAATGCATTTCACAGGTACATTGAGTAGTTTAATTAGATAATGCCTGGCAAGTATTCTGAGCTCCTTGAAGAAAGGCAGAAGTCTTATTGCCACTGGTAAATATTAATTATACACACTTATAGGGAACCTTTAATCTCAGGAACTAAGTGTGCTTAACTACGTTCAATGACTGGTCTTTGGCATTTATATATTACTTCATCTATTTAAAAAAAGCTTCTTTACACTTGTTAAATACTCCCAGAAAATTTGCCTCTCTTACTACAGATGATATACTTCATTTTTAAAAAAATGTAACTAGTAAATTATGAAGGTGATTTAAACAAAACACACAAAAAACACAGTATAGCTTGAATTCTCAAATGACCACTAGCTCCTTCTAAATAAATACCCTAAGTTTCCACAAGTATTATAATGTTCAGACCTTCCTTACAATTCTCTAAAGATATCTTTGGTGCTACTTCATGAGCTACAGGAGGTATTCAGCCTCAGTTTTTCATAATCACACATTGCAAAATGGGAAGATGTAGTGCCATAGAGGTTTGAAAAGGCAAAGAGTTGGATTTAGAAAGAAAAAGTAGAACTGAAGACATCACCCTCTATATTTGGCTACACCATTAAACATGAATCTGTTTGGTCAAGTTAGTTCAGTCACAAATCTATTGAAGGGAAAAAATTAGCTAAGTTGTGTGCTTCAGTTAGTTGGCCAGCTCATTCAACAGTAATCTTGGCAGTTAAGTCAGTATGCTAATATCTTTCTTCTAGAAAGACAGAAATTAAATGACCTGATCAAGGTTACCCAATACAATTCCATTTAATTTCCTTAAGGGATACTAAAATTACTTTGCTGCATAGAAAATGTTAAATAGAACTAAGTGCTTTGTGCTGGTTGAAATACAGCAAATACTTAATCAGATGTAGTGGGTGCTATTATGATGTACCATCCAGATACACACTTCAGAACTGAAGCACTCATCCCCCTAGCTGCTGGGAATGTTAGCAACTAATATCTCACTGAGAACTGCCCTCAGTAAGGAGAACCACCTTTCTCAAGGTCACATCTCTTCAGTTGTGTGCTAATGCTACCTTGGGCTGATTTAAAAGGGTCTGTAGTTAAATTATTAGGGATTCTATAAGCCAGTTAACATAATATTTGTAGCCTGAAATTGGCCATGGTGGGAGTGATCACTGTGGAAATCATCAAACACTAACACATCAGGGCTTCCCCACACCACAACCCCCAGAGATAGTTATTAACTATTATCATAACGTGTGCCTTTCTCTGGGCTATCCTGCACCTAATAACTGGGATGGGAGGATGGGAGATATTCCCATAATCACTATTGCTGTTTTTGTTGTTGTTGAGGGTTTTTGTTTGTTTTTTAATTAATTTATTTATTTTAATTAGGTCTATATGACAGCAGAATGCATTTTGATTCATTGTACACAATTGTAGCACAACTTTTCATTTCTCTGGTTGTACATGATGTAGCATCACACCATATGTGCAGTCATACATGTACCTAAGGTAATGATGTCCATCTCATTCCACCATCATGGAACTAGAAATACCCAGACTCCTCAACTCAATTCTGGACAACACTGAAGGGTCATCCTCCATTTAGGTCAGAATGAGGGCTTCATTGTGACTATACTGAAGTTCAGTTCTCTCTGCCCAATCCAATTCTCCCTCACAGTTGTTATCCTCAAAAGCATTCACCCAATAATCTTCCTTTATTACTCAAAACTCCATCATCAGACTGTTTTCCAGGGAAACTGACTTGTAATGCTGAATTAGACTCCCACCATACCCTGAGCTGACTTCTATCATGGTTCTTAAAGATTTATCAGCCTTTTTAATTTATATCAGTTTCTACTATGAAACTATGAGCTTCTTGGGGTCAAAAGACTTTTTTAAAATTTTCATATCCTGGTACATATTATGCACACATTGAATGTTGTTTAAATGAATATTTAAATACTAAAGATTCTTCAGGAGGAGAGGTGTGAAGTTGTATGATTTGTACAGGTCTCTTGAGAAGTGAGATATGGGCATATTTGGATTGTTAAGATGGAGGAAGTAATACTTGTTGGGCAATTAGAGACCAAACTTGTCTTTAATGCCTAATGTCATTAATTTATCCAAGACTCTACCCCCTCAACCTGAATACTTCTTCTCTATTTTTCTTTCCTTGGCTCACATTATTAACATTTCAGATAAAGGCATTTATCTGAATTTTATGCAAAATTTATCCATATTTTTATAATTAGAAATGCTCTCTGAGACCATCTAGTCCAACCTGTTCCCTTCACATTTTAGATGAAGAAATGGAAGCCTCAAGAGGGAATGATCACAGGCTTCTTGATTTTTTTTAACATGGAAAGTCCTTTCCATTGAACACAATTAAATTAGAAATCATAAATACTGAATTCAAACAACAGCATCTTAATTTAATAGATTGAGTGCTTTGTGAACAGGGATTTATAGATGCATCTGTTCTACAAGATGGTTTTACTAAATAGCTTTATTATCTCAAAATTACATTCATTAAAATGGGGTTTGACCCATAAGTTGTTGTCAGGAAAGGATTAATATGCAGAAACCTTAAAACCTAGACAAGACTTGGGTCAACAGCTGGTCAACAAATAATACTAATTCGTAATTTTCCATCCTAATTGTTAACAGTCAAGCCACTCTATAGCCAAAACATGGACCAGGAAATGCACACTCCTTAGATCACATCTTACCAGGATATAGTAACACTTTCTCTGGGCTACCTGAGTCCCACTCAAGCTGTCTGGCAGCTATGTGTTTATACTCTGGGGCTAACTATGGCTGGCTATGTAGGATCCTCTCTCACCTGCAATGCTCCCAGCATAAAAAGTCATAAAACTCCAAGAAAAGCCAATTCCCAAGTCACTCTTTTTATCTTCCTTTATTGAAATACTCTATCCTTTATTTCTCTGAGATAGAGGACCTGACGTTTCTCAAAAGGCAAGCTTGCTTCATATCTCATGGATTACTGGCATGGAGGTCTCCACGGAGGAAACTCAGCCTCATCTCACACCTTGTTGAGATGAAAATAGTTCCACTAACTAATGCTGAAGAAGTCCTTAGGAATGATATTCACACTTGTGAGCCCTCAGCATTGACCCCAATGCAAAGAAACCCCCATTATACAGTCTTCATTCTTCATATGAATCCTTCTGTGATATTTCCTGACATTAATTTTAATCTATTTTAACAGTTGCTGAGGAACAGGGAGAGCAGATCAGAGGAGGAGGGACTTACGCAGATTTATCTTAAGTCTCTCATTTCCCCATCTGACCATATTGTGAATGAAAGAGGTTCAAAGTCTCTTCCTCTCCACTTTTTTTTTTCCATCCACTTTATAAAATGGCTGAATAAGAAGAGGGTGGGAGGCTCTGGAATCTGAATGTTTCCCAGCACTATCCCCCAAGAGTGATTTGGTGCAGGTGGCCTCACTTCCCAATGTGACTCAGTACACTTTAAGAACACTCACTAAGCGAGGTGCAGCTTTCCCCACCACTTGACAAGACCTCACATGTATTCTGTTTTAATTCCTGAGGCCACCATTTAACTGCCACCAGTGTTGAACTGATCCAAGTAGCTCAGCATGATGGAAGACATACATACATCCGTTGAGTAGTCTATCTGCATCGGACCATGGTTATATTATTTTTCATGCCTGATTAAACTAGTATTGCAACTGCATTTATTGCTTTAACATTGCTTCCCAGCTTGAGACAAGTTTATAATATTTCTCCCCTTTTTGCAACATGTGTCTTCTCCAGCTTTTCCTAAACTGCTATATATTGGTAAGCCTCTGAAATGCAGGAAGCCTAGATGTTTAGATATTTCCCCTTATGCTGGGTCTTTAATAATTTTATCATTACTGATAGTGGATCCATTCATAAAAGCAAGTTGTCCTTTTACCATTTATATTTGCTTATATTAATCTACAGAAGATCCTATACCAAGTTTCCTATTAGCACTAAGGCCTTTGGCAGTAGTATTATGAATATCATTATTATTATTACTATTACTGACACTAGAGTAAAACAGTACAGGCACCTGGTACACTTTGAGGCACTTAAGAGAATTTCATTGGTAGACCCAAAAGTTAAGATAGAAAAATAGAAGGGATACATTATATGTCATATACAGAACTCAGCATCACAAGTGAGTACGCTTTAGAAGCATACCTCAAGTGGACAGGAGGCAGTAGAGCATGTGTCTTTCATTAAACCAGTTCTCAAAGTGTAGTCCCTGAATTAGCAGCATCAATATCACTTTGGAACTTGCTAGAAATGCAAATTCTCAAACTTCACCTCACCCTTCCTGAATCAGAACCTGAGGGAGACACCCTGAAATCTATGCTGTAGTCCTCCAGGGATTCTGGTGCACACTTATATTTGAGAATACGTGCTTTAGACCAACCTGAATGCATATTTCCCATTCACTAGCTGTGTGACATTGGCAAGTTGGCCTCAGAAGTCTTATCCATAAAGTTGGTAAACAATAATTGGCTTTCCTTTACAGGGGCATTGCAAGAATTAAATGAAATGCTTCATATAAAGCCTTTGCAAAATGACTAGCACATAATAAACTGTCAATAAATATTAGCTATCATCACTGTTGTTTTGTTGTTATTTTATTGTTTTATGCACAAGAGTCTTTGACAGATGGAAAGAAGCTAGCCAGGTTCTTGGCAATAAAGATAGCAATAAGGTTTCTAATTTTGGAAGAACAAGAGACGGCAGTTCTATGTCATATTGTAAGGAAGTGTTCTCAATTTGGAAAGATTTAAAGGGAGTTCAAAATGGTCCAACAGCTGGGTAAGCTCAAATTGAAAGGATTTCACAATCAGCCAAGCAAAGGGATGGTAGGCAAGAAGGTGAGGAGAAAGCAGGAGGGCTTGAAATAGCCAATTGAAAAGTTCTCTAAAGAGCTAAAGGTAGGGTCTCCTGCTACCTTTGTAGAAATGAGAAAAAGAACCCCTCCTGGGTGAATGCAATCCCACAGGTGTTCTGCTTGGTGAGTGAATGCTCTTTTGTGCCATCAGACAAAAACCTCCAGCAGGGCTCATGGTTTGAGGAGCAGAGAATGGACTGGATTTGGCCCTCATGCCCACTCAGCTAAGTTCTCTTGTAAAGGACACAACCTATATAATCCCACTTTGTATCCCTGACTACAAATTGAGGTTTTTGTCTTTGATCAATATCTCTTTTATTTGACTTTGTCAGAAATAAAAATAATTGGCAATCACTCCCATGGCTTACGGGAAATAAGTTGAGACTCTGAAAGAGGCTGAATTCCCCTTCTCTGAGACTTTACCCCATTCTTTGATGTTAATAATGCCTATTCCTCTCTAATTGTTCTTGTGAGACTCACAGGTGTTGTAAAACTTGAGAGAAAATCCCTATCTCCTGGATAATTTTGAGAGATAAATAATGAAATGGTCTATGTGCCAAGCATTATAAGCTGTAGAGTGCTGTTTGCATGTAGTGTCATGGTTGCTTTAATTGTCTCTATGGAAGCATGTCGTTTCCCTTTCTAAGTGCCTAAAGCTATTATTATTGTTACTGTTACTTTACAATTAAGATTATCATTGCCTTGGTACTGTGTAAACATGATTTAGGCCTGTTTCTGAGAAAGACACTTCCTCTAACCCCAATAAGGTGCCAGCTATATTTCCTAACCACTAATATTATAAGAAACAGAAGTAGCATACCAGCTAGTAATAGCCCACTACTCTCTCCCCTCCTTCCCTATCACCACCGACCTGCTAACTACTTCTATTATCCTAGATATTTCCAAGTCCCTCCAAATGAAAAGGCCCCTTTCCACTATATTTTATATGCCACAAAGAGTCCTTCTCTGAAGGTTAACTTGGAGGTTCACAGTATTAAGAAGTTGCCTCATAGCCAGCAAAATATGGCTTATCTCAGCTGAGGTCACACAAAAATCCCAGTGTTTTTTTTTTGTTCTTGTTTGAGATAGATAACAGCCAGGGATACTTGGCAGCTTCTGTCCCACTAGTTGAGAAGAGATGGAAAATTCACTAGAGATTTGGGCTGGTGTGGGCTATACTTGGTGTGTTGTCATATTCCTCACTGTGATGTTGGCCTGATTCATACTCACTGGCTTCTGGCTGTTTCTCACTTGATTTCCAGTTTTCAAATAGGTCTACAAATGTGCCCTAAATTTTAGGCCACTTGGCTAGAGCCGTAATACTCTATTTTTGTTTATTCTCTGGATCCTGCTTCCATGCTCCCAGTGGCCTACAATGCTAAAGTGTATTTTACTCTAACACTTCTCTTCCACAACTCCCACTACCACATCTTACCCACCAGTTGGCATGCCAACACCCAGCTGTACCAGTTGTGGGTATCATATACTCATATACTCCCCTTTGAACACTGAACTTTGTGCTGCCTGAGGTCACCCCATACTCAGTCCGCAACCCAAATGACAACTCAGTTTCTCTTTCCCCACCCCTACTCATATTCTGACTCAAGTCACTGAGGTCCCCCATATGCCTCATCTGAAACTGCCTGTTTTGTCAGAAACCAGAGGAAAAACATCCTAAGTGCAGAACTTGATCTTTGCTCCCTTTTATCACACTTTCTGATTTCTTCCTCCATGTTCTGTTGTCCTTACTACTCAGAGTCTTTCTTTTCTCCATAATCATTCTTTCTAGGTTTTTTTCCTCTTAATCTCCAGATTTCCATTCCTTAGTGGGCTGATCCAAACTGTTACAAAGAAAACAATCTGATGAAATAAAGTCATATTAAGACAAAAATGACTGGCCACTTCAAGTAAGGAACATCCATTTGCATTTTCATTAACGAATTAATTAAAACAGTGGTTCTGGACTCTGACTACACTTTAGAAACACCCGGGAAGCTGTTTAAAAGGCCTTTTCTGGGGCCCCACCACGGACCAATTTAATCAGAATCTCTAGAGGTGGCACTCTGGCAACAGTCAATTTGGAAAGTCCACACAATTCCAGCATGCAGTCAGAGTGAGAACCCTTGACCTAAAGGAATGGATCTCTAATGGTAGGGCAATAATATATACATTTGCTTCCTCCCTCCCTCCCTCAAAGGGGTTGTGGGTGGTGAGCACTCAATCCTAATTCCTCTCAGTCTGACAGCCTAAAGAGCCTCAGGTCCTGGATTTATTTAACATTTCATGGTAGAGGCCAAAATGTCATTTCAAAGTATACTATTTAGAATGGGTGGGATGTGAAACACTCATGGAATGTAAACTTGCAAGAGACACTGGGCTTCATGAAGCTTTGTAACATATTATAAAGTTACAATACTAAATATGTTAGCCTGTTTCTGGCATGATTCCTCTCTGGAAATGGTTTTATATCTTTAAAAATAATTCTGTACTCTGCATTGGAAATATCAAGCTCTATTATGAAGTAATCAGAGCCACACTGATTGCTTAATATTATAGGATCTTGTAGATGGGAGCTGGAAGCAGACTACTGTAGTTCCTGGAACTAAAAACTCTTGCCCTCATCCTCTCATAATGATCATAATTAAGGTCCTATACTGGAGACACTTGAAACTTAAAATGGGCTTCTGGTTATAAGCCAGCCCTAAGCTGGACCATACTCTATCTAACAAGCCTATTGTTATGTTGAGGAAATGACTGGGACCAGGACTAATCCTAGAAGTAATCAGTTTGACAAGGAGTTTCTGAGCTATCCTTCCTAAAGTGGTGGAATGGCTGCAATGGGTGAATGAACAGTGTTCCCACAAATCACTGTCACTTCCAGAAAAAGTAAAGTGGAGATTTAAAAAAAAAAAAACTAGAATAGAAAAAGATCAAAATCAAGTGTCACAAGGGCTTGTGGTAAGTGTAAGTAAAAGAGGTCTGACTCCAGAGGACCAGGAAGTCTCCCCACCCTCAAATTCTACTCAATTTGCCTTGGTGACCATAGCTTCGATGGGTCAAGTTCTTTGCCTCACAATGTGCCATTGTTTCTGCAAGAATCATCTTTTTTATAGTCCATAAAAAACTTTTTTATTAGTTATTTTTAGTTATACATAACATTAGGATTCATTTTGACATAATTATAAAAGCATGGAATATAATTTGCTCTAATTCCCTACCCAGTATTTTCAAGAATCATCTTTGAACATTAAACTTTCCATGTAAGGGAAAACATGTTAATATTTTGGCAGTCTTCTCAATTTTATATGCTTTCATTTATAACTTAGGTGCTTCTGTATCAATTAGCTATATGCTGCAGGGAGACAAGCCCTGTTTGGGGGGATAGGGAATCATAGGAAGTGTGGAGAAAGACAGGATCTGAGTGAGATGTGATGACACAAGGGCACTGGGTACCTAGGAAGGAAAATGCCTAGAAAGGAGTCAAAGAAAAATCTCCCCTGAGTTAAAGTAGACCAAAATGAAGCCATAAGAACATCTTCTTTTGGCTACTCTGAAACTACCATGGTTCTAAGGACAGAGGGAATGTGTGGCTACAGGACTCTTGATACCATTCTTCTCCACCCAGGTGCTGAGAGCAGGTAATGGCCCCCAAGGCATTTGAGTCGGAGTTATTTGTACCTCTATTAAATCTGTGAGATTTTAGGTTTTGTGGAAACAGGAGACTTGGGGTCTGAGTGTGAGTGAAAGAGGGCAAACATGTAAAGAACTAGGGAAGAATGTGCTAGCCTATGGTGTTAGGGCAGAAAACCTTGTGGAGGTTTTGATATCTTTTACTGAAACCACGTTTAAACCTCAGTTGAGAGAAAGCACTCACTGCGAATTCTGTCTGCCTGGAGAATCCACTGAAGAGCTTTTTGAATGCTTTGGTTGTCTTGTCCTGTGGTCAGGACGACCCCTACAGGTAGGCTGTGGCTCCGAGGAGCACTTGCGACTTGATTGCCTGTGTGCAACTAAATGTCTTCATCTGAGAAAATTACTCCAGCATGAGCCCACTGGAAATATTTCATGACAGTTAAAAGCACCCAGATGGGAGAAGGGAGTGTCCAAGAAAAGGCCAGGTAGCTCTTTATATTGTCTAGTTCATGATTCACACAAGCCCAAGAGAAAATCCCTTTGTCCCAGCTGTTTCCCAGGAGCAACGCTCCTTCCCAGTAGCCAGGGTTGGCAGGGCCAATAAATCCTGAGGCCATCTGGTGGTAGGAAATGAAACTGGAGAGGGCCCTTGAAGTCTGGCAGTCTTCATTGAGAATCACATATTCAAAAGAGTAACCCGGGTCTAATGATGGGTCCCGGTTGATTCGCTTAATTGCTAATTGAACAGCAACCTCAGGCAGGGCCTTTGAGAACAAGGGATCTCAAGCACAAGGGCCCACCACTACTACCTCTTCAGAGAATGCCCACACCTGCTGCAGGAGAGACATACGGGCCAGGAGGCACAAGCACCACTTGAGCTTAAAAGATGCAAGGCCATGGTTTCTTGACAGTGCTGGGAACTGCAAACCAAAGCATAAGGAAAATAAATGGCCAGGGTCCCAGGAATATATCCTTCCTGCTTCCAGCAAGCTAATGATAAAATACCAGAGGGTTATTCTGCTATTCTGAGATGGACAGTGGTGCTTCCAATGCCTGTCATTCAGACAAAAATGTTGTAACTTACATGATTTCTGAAACTTCTGGAAATATCAATTATAAAAGAATGGAAGTGTCCCAAATTGAAAGATCCTGTCCCCCATTCCAACCAAAAATCCTCCTCTTCCTGTATTCCTTATCTCATCCATTGTTCACTCATGTGTTTCCATCACAAATTCTTGGAATTACCAAAACTCCTTCTCCTATACCTCACCTTAAATCCATCATCAAGTCCTGTTGATTCAACTAAGGTAATATCTGCCCACCTGTTAATGTGTTTTGATGATAACCTGGATTAACATATAACAAGTGCTTATAAAAAAGCCTGGCACTTCATTAGCACTATATTGGTCATATTATTGTCATCACTGCAGTTTTATATATGTCCATTTCTCCCCCATAATACCTTCCTGGAGAGAGAGGAGTATAAACAGATAATGGTGATACAGAGTGGAATGTGGTTCAGATAGTGCACATAAAAGAAGACAAGGAGGATTACCTAAATTCAGATTAGAAGGAAAGAGAGGAGGGAAGAGAAGGGAGGCCTCTCTAGATTGAGTACTGAAAAACAAGTTAGCCAAGAGGCTTTCAGGCAAGAGGAACAATATACGGAAACACTCAGAGGTTCAAATATGTTTATGGTGTTAGATTCTCAGAATTCCAAAGCATTTGTTCTATTTGGGTCTGTGATATCAGCCAAGGCAATGGTCAGATCACTAAAAGTCCCTTATGCCATGATTCAACCCTGTAGACAATGGTTTTAAGTAAAGAAATGGTATTATCATATTTCCGTTTTAAAGGTTCACTCTAGCAGCAGTATGGAGAATGGGTTGGAAGCGGGTAAGATAACAGGGGCAGGGAGACCAATTTGGAGGTGATATAGTAATCCACATGAGAAATGATGCCAGACCAAGAGAGTAGTAGTGAAGATTTAGAGGAATGAAGATGAATTCCTCCAAGATTAAAAATATCAAGGACAAGGGGCTGGGGCTGTAGCTCAGAGGTAGAGCACTTGCCTGGCATGTGTGAGGCACTGGGTTAAATCCTCACCACAGCATATACATCTACAACTAAAAAATTTTTTTTTAAAAAATCAAGGACAAAACTGTGAGAACCCACAACACTTAAGATCAGTTGGAGAGAAAAGAGGTCATAATGAAAACTTAAAAGCCCAGAAAAGCAGCAAAATCCAGAAGATAATGGTAGTTTCCAGTGCAAGGAAGATGAAACTCTGAGGATGGAAAGTGTTTATGAACATCAAATTCTGCCAAGAAGTCAAGTAAGCTAAAGATAGAAAGGTATCCATTGGATTTGGACCCAGAGAGTAAGGATGCAAGTTGATGAGTCACGATGAATACAAAATGCATGGGAATTAATGAAGTAGAGTCAGCAAACATACAGAACTCTTTCAGGATGACATATGCAAAGTCTCTGGCCTTTGTCTTTCTCCACAACCCATCTCCCTCATTCTTTCTTCATGCTATAGTAAATATCATGTAGTTCTTCAGACATGTGTTCCATCAGCTGTCAAGCCTAGGATTCAGAAAATGCCATTCACTCTTCCTGGAATCCCCTCTTCCTTCTTCCCATCCTCCCCTTTCAGGTTCTCCTGATGAACTCTGCCTTTCAGATCATACTGAAGTGTTCCCTGCTTTGTGAAGTCTTAGTTAACACCCCAGATCGAGTTCATTGTATTTCCATCAGTGCTTCATACTTGTACCCATTAGAGAGGTATCAGTCTGATTATAAACTGTCTCTATTTCTGATCTGTGTTGCAGCAAGAATACAGAACTGTTTGACATCTCTATACTTACAGGACCTCATACTTTTAACCATATGGAATGAAGGACAATGACGGCAACTATCAATGGAGAACAGAGCCCACTAAACACTGCAAGTTCCTAGAGAGTCCATTTACAGCCCTAATGCCTAGCCAAGTGCCCAGCACCTGGTAGGCATCAGATAAATGTTTGTGAAATGAATTAATAACACATTCAAGTTGATCCAAGATCAGGAATAACCTCAGTAGACATAATAAGAAAAATTGCTTGGGAGAGATGTTAATGAGGAAAAGTCTTAGTAAATCCTTAATTCTAATCACATATCAAAATAATGACATGACCCTCTTCAGTGACAATCAGCACTGGTATGCGCTGGTCAAGTTCACTTGGTTATGTATTGCCAGCAACAGTTCTGCCTGTACTACCCATTTAATTGTTACCTCGACTCTCATCCCTAATTTTGTGAGAAACCCTGACTACTCAAGACACAAATCTGGGACACACCTGTGAACCTTTTATTATTATTATTACTATTATTATTATTACTATTATTATTATTATTATTTGCCATACTATGGATTGAGCCCAGGGATGCTTCACCACTGAGCTCCATCCCCAGTTTTTTTGACTTTTTATTTTGAGGCAGGGTCTTACTAAGGTGCTGAGGCTGGCCTCAAACTTGCCATCCTCCTGCCTCAGTCTCCTAAATCACTGGTATAACAGGCATGTACCTCTACATCCAGCTTACATTTGATAAATCTTAAAGACCCACTATAATGCTATGCCCAACTTCATACACAGGTGAAGTCGAGTTTAAATAATGGTCAAGAAAGACTTGGGGAAGGAGCTATCACAAAATAGCATGAGCCAGAGGCTGAGTGGTGTGTAGGATGCAAGGGAGGAACTTCAACTATGCTTTGGAGGTAGTAGAACAGCAGTTCTGAGATGGTTATGTGCGTAATACCTCAAATTTATTCCTAGAACCCCAAAGATAATATAGTCCAACCTCTTCCCCTCTTCCAATAGATCTATTTGGTGTGCTATGTTGAAGCACAATGAAGTATAAGTTGTAGACTACAAGCCAGGCTCTAATCAAGAGCTACATGCTTCTCTTCCCACCTTCCTCCAGCCCCAGTCTTTTCTGTGTCTTGGCAAAATTTGGGAGCCAGGGAACTCTAGAAGCAACTGCTCCTCTGGAGTAGCATTGAAGGGTCCCCTGTTTATGGTCTGTATTATAATAAGGATACTGAACTGTATGTCCCTGTCCTTATAGGCTCTCACTCTTTCAACCACTAGGAGGGAGCAAAAAGGAGGGCAACTCTATATGGGGAGTTGAACCCTATTCACAGCAATAAAGCAAGGGAGTTGCAATGGTTTGGATGTGGCTTGGGCCTGCCAAAACTTATGTGGAAGCGTGATCTCCAATGTAATGGCAAGAGGCAGTGAGACCTTCAAGGGGTGATTAGGCTGATAAAAGGGATTAGGGTTTTTTTGTTGTTATTGTTGTTGTTTTGTTTTTAGCGAGTGAGTTCTCACTATCACAAGAATGGATTAGATATCAAGAGAGTATGTTCTTACAAAGTGAGCCTGACACCTCTCCTCAGTCTCTTGCCATGTGGCCTATCTTTCACATGCACTCACTCATTACTCTTTCATGCATGTCTGCCATGCTATGCCATCTACCATGTTATAATGGAGTATGAGGTCCTCACCAGATATAATTGCCTGATTTGGAACTTCCCTGTCTCCAGAACAGCAATCTAAATTAGCCTCTTCCTTCAAGTATCCAGCATCAGTTACTTTGTTATAGCAACACAAAATGGACTAAGAAGATAATTGGCTGCCTCTTCTCCCCCAATACACCAGTCTGACAGGTTCTTCCCCAGAATTTGTACATTTAAGTTAGAAATTACCACATGGAATAACAAAGATAAAATTTACTGAGTTGTCGCTAAGAGTCAAACTCTGGGCTACATTCTTTTCACGTATAATCTTAATTTAAAAAAAAAAACCCTCATCACAGAACATAGAGGTAGGAATAATTATCATTTTTTAATTTTTTTTTCTTATAAGAGCTTTATGGTTATATATAGTAGTGGCATTCTTTTATAGATAAGGAATCCAATACTCAGAAAGAGTAAGTAACTTGCCTGAGGCACAGCATTTTAGAAGGGGAATTTGCACACCAGTTGATGGAGCACTGTACTATGCTTACAGACAGCCCCTATTCTATAAAGTCATTGAGACTACCAGTATAATACCTTCTATGCCATTCAAATCGAGTTTCAATGACTCACTTGTGATCTTAAAAATATTCCTTAGTCCCTCATGAAAGATTAAATTAGATAAAGAAGGGGAGGGACAGAATAAATTAGAAAGATCCATCAGAAATTCAATATTCAACTAGAAGAAATCTGCCACTGGTGTTTAAGCCCAGATCTGGTATGGCACACTTGCCCATGACTCAAGGCCTAATGTTTGCATATCTGGGGATTGGGGCCACTAGTCACACTGCGTTCTATGTAAAGCCAATGCTTGTCTTCAAGAATGGAAGTCTGGGGAGTATATCCTTTAGAATAATAGCTTCAATTCTCAATTTCTTCATCTGCAAAATAGGGGTAGATTTAATTTCATTCTTGTGAGATTAAGAACTAAAGAAGTTAGAATGATAATGGCAATGATAAGCATGTAATTATCTTTCAATAAATACAACTGTAAAAGAGGAGTATACTGGGGCTGGGCTTGGTGGCACATGCCTTTAATCCCAGCAGCTTGGGAGGCTGAGGTAGGAGGATCATGAGTTCAAAGCCAGCCTCAGCAAAAGTGAGGCACTTAGCAACTGAGACCCTGTCTCTTAATAAAATACAAAATTGGGCTGAGGATGTGGCTTAGTGGTCAAATGCCCCTGAGTTCAATCCCTGTTGCTCCCATCCCCAAAATAAATAAGTGTACTGGGAATCAGAAGACTAGGGTCCAGGATCCACCTCTACCACTGACCCACCATTTGACATTAGACAAATCGTTCCCCTCCTCTATGTCTCTCTTTTGTTCCCTCTAAAATGGACTATAGGACCTTCCATGTCTATTTCTTCTCTGACATACATTAATCCTGGGCTTCTGTACTTCTCCAGGCAGTTACTTTCCTAAACCTCTGCAATTGTTAAGCTGCATTCTGAGTTTATCACCTTCCCTTTTGTGCTCCAATAACTTTCTTACTAGAGTTGGATATCCCCACATGGTTTCTACTTACTTCTATGTGGAAAATCCAGTTCCTGATTGGTTTGGGCCTAAAATCCTCTATCAAAGTACCTATGATGTGAAGGCCCCTCTTTCTTTCTATGCTACAGTTATGCTAGGACTGTAACTACAAAAAAGGGGTGGGGAGTATAGAGACCTGGCCAAGAAGTCTCATCAGGAAAAGCAATCAAGTATATTAGGGGGGAGAGCAATAATCTATGCTTGATTGTAAGTCCCCCACTTACATTTGTTCATTTTTATATCTCCAGTGCCCTGTATGATGCCTGACACATAGTAAATATTCAACAAATATTTGTTGAATAAACAATGAAGAGGAGATATGTAGCACAAATGAAATGTTTTATATTACTATGTTCTTGAAAAGGCTCTATTTAAAGCCTTGATCAGGATCCATCTTTGGCAAAATTATCCAATAGGCAAAGTTTGCCTTCAAATTTCTAGCCCATCTCTCTTTGTCCCCCCATTAATGGGGACAAAAACAACTCCGAGGGCTGGGGATGTGGCGCAAGCAGTAGCACACTCACCTGGCATGTGTGCGGCCCAGGTTCGATCCTCAGCACCACATACAAACAAAGATGTTGTGTCCACCGAAAACTAAAAATAAATATTAAAAAAAATTCTAAAAAAAAAAAAACAACTCTGAGGAAAAAAATCTACTTAAATAATTTGCACAGACAGGTAAATAAATGATAAGATTTGACACTTTACCCTACTCCTTCTTGCCAACGAATGATGTTCATTTCTAATAAGGGTGGGACATCTTTGTACCAAAATAGTTAATCTTGATTATTAGAATAATATCAAACATAAGTTGCCAGTAGGCAAAGAGAGATGGACCACTTTTAGAAACCCTCACACCAAAGAGATCAGCTATCTGTTCTAGGTATAAGCTTGGTGTTTTAATGTTATAATCCAGGTCATTCATCCTAAACACAATGCCTCCCCCATACCAAATTCTAAAAATTATGCTTTTTCATTTTAAGTATTTCCCAAGTCTATCCATTTATGATATAGGACCTTCCTCAAGCCATGTGTCAAATAGTACCCCTAGGCATTCATTCTCAGTTTTTCTCTTTTTCTTTATAAACTGCAAGGTAAACAATCCCCAAGCTGAAAGTTTGTTCTTACACTCTTTCTGATATCTATGCCATGCATTAGGTAATATTTCTAATTCTTCTAGGACTCCCTGCAGAATCAGAAATCTCTATTGCTGTAGGATTTAGTCTGGATCCCCCAACCCAAGATTTTACAGAAGAAAACTTATTCATAAAAAAGGGGGTGGGGAGGTAGGGAGGGAGAGAAAACCTGAAAGGGAGTGGAGAGGGAAGGATGGAGGAAGAAGGAAGGAAGGATGCCCTAAGGCTTCACCTACTGGTTTGGATTTAAAGACAAAATTATAGAGCTCTTGTGCAAAAGACATTGTCTATTGCCTCAAAACAATTCAGCTGAAGACTTCCCTGGGGTTAACGAGAAATATGGACATAACTAAGATAAAAGCTGAAGGTATGAAATTTTGGAAATAGAATACTGTTGACCCACAGTTATTCAAAGGCCGTTGCCTAGGTAACCCAGGTATGAATACCTGCGTGGGATCAGATTCCGTGGAAAGTGGCTAGAGTATAGGGATGCATCATTTTATTTCAGGTAACTTTCACAATCTGGTGGGAAGCCTGGTTTCACAAGGAAAACACTGTTCTTTAAACATATACAAAGAAAGACTATGACAAATAGCTCTGAGGGAAATGGCTCCTCATCCTAACTTGTCAAGCCGAGGACTTCTATGGATGATTGATCTTTGCAGTTACAGCCTGAATCAAGTTAACAGCTTGTATAAGACAACATCAGGAAGAAATAAAAAAGACTCATGAGAGAAACCAAATGAAAGCTTGGAGGAAAGCCTATAAACCCAAACCTTGATTTAAAAGTGTCTCTAAGCCTTTTCCCCCATGTCATTCTTTCTTTCCTTTCCGTCTTTCATTCTTTAATTTTCCTACTACATACTGCAGCAAAACTAACATATCTCAGAGTCTGAGCTCATAAGTGGGCTGTGTTTTTCCCTCATTAAAATCTTTCTTATAAACAAGAGCTGTCAACTACTCACCATGTAATTCACTGCTCAAATGTCTTTAATTTACCGCCTGCATATGCAAATCTCTGGCATAGCTATCTCAATATGTCCATTTCTGTGCATCCT